CATGCTTGCAGTACAAGATGTGAGCTCTCAGCTGTTCCTCTGGCAGCCGTGCCTACTGCCTCCACTCTGCCATCACGGACTCTCTGTAACTGTAACTCTTTCCTCAGTCATGATGTTTTATCACAGCAACAGAAAAGTAACTACTATGAAAGAGCTGAGGACTGGGCACACCTCTATACGAGGAGAAAACCTGCGTCATCACGGCTTTCCACTGCTGCAGTCCACCGGATTTGTTGAGGTCCACTACTGAGTCTGAAGCTAGGCAATTAGATAAGACTAGCTAACCAGCAAGCTCCAGGGATTCTCCTATCTCTACCACTCCAGTGTTAGAATGATAGGCACATACTAAAGCCTGTCTTTTTAACGTGGGTGCTGGGGGGCTGAATTTCTGTTTGTGCTACAGGGACTCCATGGACTGAGATATTGTCCCAGCCCATTGTATAAGTTTCTACAACATCCCCACACGAATCACAGACTTCAAGAAAAAGACATCTGTGGAAGGCAAAGTTTCACCTCCTCAGCACCCTTTGCCTACCTTGAATCCATCTTTGGCTTTATTTTGACCATACAGGAAGAAAGTATTGTCGGGATGCGCTCTGATTTGGGGCTCAGAATAAAGATCTGGGTTTTTTGTTGTTGTTGTTGTTGTTTGTTTGTTTTTTCTAATGAACTACTTGAAAGGATCCCAAGCCCGGGAAAGAGCCTGCATGTCAGTTGCTGAGCAAATGAAACCTCTGAGGTTCTGTATTGTTCCACTGTGTCTATTGAGTCAGGTGGGTACCTTAGGAACAAAAGCGACAGTGAAACTAACAAGCTGGGGTCTGGGGCCGCGCTCCCTCTCACAAACACATATACTTGTGGCTTATTTGGAGTTCTCAGGTGGGGACCCAGTTCAAATATTTTGACAGCTGGAAAGGCCCTCAACACTCTTCTTCAACCTCTCACACCTAGGCCTAAAAAATCCCTTACCAAATGTGTTATTTCTTGTTTGTCTCTCTTTCTTTTGAGACAGGGTCTTAGTATCCAGACTTTAAACTAACTGTATAGCTGATGATGACTTTGAATTTCTGATTCCTCTACCTACTCTTACTTAGTGCTGCGATTACAGGTACGTGCCAAAATGCCCTGTTTAAGAGGTGCTGGGGAATCGAACTCAGGAATTCATGTTTGCTTGGCAAGTGCTCTACCAATTGAGCTACATTTTCAGTCCTCCTTTTTTTCTCCTTCATCTCCTCTTCCACTCCCCTCTTCCTTTATTTCATTTTCCATTTCCTGTTTATTTATTGATTTCCTAAAGAATTTTGCATTATTCTTTAGGGGAAAGGGTGCATGCTATGCAATCTCCCACTACATGCAGTCAAATTTCCCACATTTGGGGAAACCACAGAGGACAGCCCATCAGGAGTGCAATGGATAAACTTACTTTTTTTTATTTAAATTTAAATTAGGTAAACTTACTTTTTAAGATAAGGTTTCACTCTGTGATTCAGGCTGGCCTAGAACTCAGCCCAGGGTGGCCTCACCATTCCTGCCTCTACATTCTGCTGGGAATACAAGTATATAAAAACCACATCTGCTCTGTTTTTTGTTTGTTTGTTTTTTAATTTCTTGTTTTTGAGTCAAGGGTCACTCTTTGTTGCCTAGGCTGGCCTAGAATTTCCTACAAGGTCCAGGCTATTGGATTCCTAATTCTATTTCAGTCCCCAGGTTGCCAGCTCTATTACACTACACCCCGCTGGTTTTCCATTCTCTGGTTTACCTAGCGCAAAGGATGTCTTGACTGCTGGTCTCTGACCTGTGGGTATGCCTGACTATTGAAACCTGGCTTTGGCCTGCGGTTGGGGCAGCACTGCTGCTCACCTTGCTTGTTCCTGTCATCGCCCCTGAAAGGACAGCTTCCCCAGACACTGGCCTATTAGCTCCCACTGCAGCCGGCTCTCTCATAAATAACAGGTTGTCAGGGGTTTACGGAGACCTTGTGCAAACCATAAATCATTGCTGTTCTGTCCAGTATCCTCTCCTTCATTTCCATCACAATATGGCTCCAGAGGGACGGGGTGGGGGTGGGGTGCCAGGGAAGCTGAACCCTCAGCCCAGTAGAAGGGATTGGTGAAAATAAAAGGTGGCTGGGGAGGAGAACGGAGCTGTGGCAGTTGGCCTTAGGGAAACATCTGCTGGGTGGCCGGCAGTTGATGGTGGTCATCTGGACCCTTCAGGCACCAGAGAGGAGTCAGGGAAGAGAGAAGGCAGGTGTGGATAGTATAGAGGTTTCTGGAAGAGTAGCAGATGGCTGTTGGTTCCACCTTGGTTCCTCTATTCACTCCAGGATGAACAGAAACATCAGGCCACAGACTGCCATTGTCCTCAGGGCTAAGCTATATCCTTGCCTCCTGCCTGTTAGGCCAGCAGGTGAGAAGCAAATTTCCAGCTTAGGTTACCAGCTCAGCAGACTGGCTCTCCATATTGGGGTGTATGTGAAAGTTTATTAGTAGTAGCTGTTGACAAACCCCAGTGCCCCTCACCCAAGCTTAGAGACCAAACCCAGGACCCTGTGTGTACTAGACAAGCTACTATTAAGCCATAGCCCCAACACAACACTCTCTGGGGTATCCTAGAAGAAAGTTTCTCTGATAGGAACAACCTCCCTCAGGGTTATGGTGGCTGCTTTATTCAGATAAGAGAAATTCTGACACTGTTTCTTTATGCATGTAGTGTGGCCCAAGTGCTTTAATTTTTATACCATGTTAGTGGGGGTTTTGGTGTCTCTGACTTAATAAACTTAACTGCTGGGAACCTTTCTTCTTGGGGTAATGGCAGAAAGCAACTTTTGGGGACATAACTACAGTGGCATTTGGTAATTGTCCTGTGTGTGGTTTGGAAGGGAGTTAGGAAAAGGAAGCTGAACCTCTCTATACATGACATTCATGGGCAAGGATCAAGAGTCGACATGAAGCAGATGAGGTCACACGGATGGGAGGGGAGCCCTTGGTGTCTCTTGGCTTTGGGTTTCATTGGTGGGATTTTGTTTTGTTTTGTTTTGGGTTTTGAGACAGGAATTGGCCTGAGGTATGAGATCCTGTTTCTCTGAGCCTGGGATGACAGATTACAGATTTGTGCCATCACTCCTGCCTTGGTGTCTCTCCCTTTCTCCCTTTCCTCTGCTTTTGCCCATTATTGCATAACTCCAGGACACACTCATGTGCACGATGTTGCCAGTAAACCTGCAAAGACCTGTAACAAGTCTTTCTCTGGACAACCAGCTCCCAAATAACAACATGGAGACTTATTATTGGCTAATGACGCTACCTCTCTTCTTCTCCCCAGCCTCTCTGTACCCAGAAGTCCTGCCTAATTTCTTCTTCCTAGCTATTGGGCATTGGGCTCTTTATTAAACCAATCACAATGACACATCTTCACATAGTGTAAGGGAATATTCTGCAATGAAGACCCCAACTTCAGGGAAAGTCTCCTGGATTAACTTGGACAGGCTCTACATCAGACACGAGGCTCCTGCCTCTCTCCTTAGTGCTTGCAGCTAAAGGTTCCTGTGTTTCTCTTGCCTATGCTTCCCCTCAAGCTGCTTGCAAAGGTTCTCAGCAGTAAGGATCCATTCACTGCCTCACTTCTTGAGCCTAAATCTTTACCAAAGGAATGACCACATTTCAGTAACACCCAGTCAAGCTCCAAAAATGAATGAAGAGTGAAGAGGAAGGTGGAGTTTTAGAAGAAGGTGTAGTTAGCAGAGTTCTTGCCTAGCATGTTCAAAGCCCCAGCATGGCAAACGCATGGCTACACTAGGAGAAGTAATACACACCTGTGATCCCAGATGCAGAGGCAAAAGGATCAGGAGGTCCAGGCCAAAAAGTCTTGTTTGAAACAAAACCCCACAGAGTAAAAACATTGGCGGTGGTGGCTCACAACTTTAATCCCAGCACTTGGGAGGCAGAGGCAGGTGGATCTCTGTGAGTTTGAGACCAACTCTACAAGGTCGAGTTCCAGGACGGCTAGGGCTGTTACACAGAGAAACCCTGTCTCGACCCCCCTCCTCAAAAACAAACAACAAACAAACAAAAAAACCCAACAATTCACAGCTTCAAATCAATTCCTTTGGTCTTTCAACAAACTCTGAATTAACACTTGCAGGAAGGGCATTTTTTCCCCCCTGCCTGTCTGTCTTTGCAGGAAGTTTAGGAAGTGGACAGTATAGGTTAAGACAGGAGGAAACGAAAAGACTGAATCCAGTTACTATTAAAGTTCTCCACCATAAACCGGGCGTTGGTGGCGCACGCCTTTAATCCCAGCACTTGGGAGGCAGAGGCAGGCGGATCTCTGTGAGTTCGAGGCCAGCCTGGTCTACAAGAGCTAGTTCCAGGACAGCCTCCAAAGCCACAGAGAAACCCTGTCTCGAAAAACCAAAAAAAAAAAAGTTCTCCACCATAAATACAATCAAATGAGACCTCTGCCTTCCAGTCCCCTTAAATCTCACCGACTCTTCAGTTGGTATAGGCGGCCTTCTTTTACAGTGCAAACCATGACACCACCCCTCCCCCAATTCTGGAGGTGCCATCATGATCCAGTAAGTCCGAGCGGTTCATTATAGGTTTGCAACACTCCTTTTACTGTGAAAGAAGCTAACCCTCTTAGAGCCCAAGACCCCTACAGTTACAAATATGCCTCATAAAACCACTGATCTCATCCCCTCAACCCACCGATGTCTTGTCGAGCATCCAGCTTCTAGCCTGGGATAAATACGGTCTCTAGAGAATCTAAAATTAAGGGAAGCCTTTCTTCCAGTTGACCTGAAGAGCAGCAGCTGAATTGCGGTGTTCCGCCCGCCCGTGAGCAGGTGGATCCCCAGCCGACGCCAGAACCCGGGGTCTGGGGGATACCCCCGAAGGGGCCGCGGGCGGGGCGGGGCGGGGCGGGGCCAGGCGGAGACGAGCGGTCGCCGCGCTCCTCGCGCTAGGCCGCGTCGCCCGAGCGTCCGCCGCGTCTCCAGGGACAACCTAGGCAAAACCCTCTGCGGGCGCCGCGACGGTTAATCAGATTCCCGACCGAGGGGGCATGGCCGCCTGCTGCAGGGGCCAATCGAAAACCTGGGAGGCCCTATATGCAAATATGAGGGCCGGGCGGACCCGAGGTTAGGAGGGGCGCGGGTTGGGGTCGTCGTACCGAGCGTGTGGCAGCCAATGGGAACCTGGCTCCTTGCTCCGAGATGTGGGCCAGCTAGGGTGGTTGCGAGAGATCAGAGCCGCCCAGCCGGGGAGAGCCGGGGCAGTAGCAATTGCGGGTAAGGAAGCTCGGAAACCGGGTGCTGACCTTAAATCGCCGCCTCTTAGTGTTACTGTCTCCCTAAAATACTGGCTCTACTCGAGGCCACCCCTCTCTGCCTTCCTCGGTGGCGTTCCACGATGCCAGCCTCTCACCCCCATGAGCCCTAAGCACCACTTCTCTGTTCCTGGTGCTAATACTCACTTCCCGCCCTTCCCGGTTTTCCACCTGGGGGCAGTCCCTTAGATACCAACCATCTCAGGGACACTTGAACTCCTCACCCCCCCCCCGCCCCCCCGGGTCCGTCATCATTTTTTTTCCATTGCCCGAAGAATCCTTCCAGAAAGTTTTGTTTATTTTTCATGCCTGGAATAGCCCTATGCCTCCATTCCCTTCATCCCCTTTCCAATTCTTTTTTTTTTTTTTTTTTTTTTTTTTTTTTGGTTTTACGAGACAGGGTTTCTCTGTATTGTTTTGGAGGTTGTTGGTCCAGCCCGGCCTCGAACTCACAGAGATCCGCCTGCCTCTGCCTCCCGAGTGCTGGGATTAAAGGCGTGCACCACCACCGCCCGGCCCCTTTCCAATTCTTAATTTTGCCTTTCACTTTTTCTTCTTTTTTGGCCTATTCTGAATACTCTTCTAGTCTTGAGAAAGTTGTCTAGAATTTGAAAGGTAAATAAATATATCCTTTACATTTGGGAACAAAATAGAAAGGGAACTAAATGTTCATTAATAATTCTTATGTGCCAAGGGCTCTAAAATTTTTATTTAGTATTTCTACCAGTATTTCATCATCATTATCATGGCCATCATCATTTTGGGGTGCTGGGGATTGAACCCAGGGACTTGGGCAAGTGCTTCAACATGGAACCCCTCCCCCATATCCTTACTTGACAATATGGTATTTATTTTGAACCAAGCACTGCTTGAAGAGCAGTAGAAATACTAGCTAGGTCTTTAGAAGGAGATGAATACTATCCTTTATTTAGGAGGGAAGTGAGGTATAAAGAGGCTATTGCCCAGGGTCACCACTGTAGAAAGCAAGGGAGTACAAGGCCTGGTCGTCACTCACCTGCCATCCCAGCCTCCTGTGATGCTGAGACAAGAGAATTTCAAACTTGGGGTCAGCCTCGGCTGCACAGTGAGACCCTGTGAAAAGGGAAAGCAAAACAGGAAAGAGGATGGTATGTGGATCCAGGGTTATGTTGGCTAATATTTTCCTGAGTGTCATGGAGGAACTGGGTGGTCATGACCCTGGCCTGAAAACTGCTTTTTAAAAAACAAACAAACAAACAAACAAACACAGGAATGAAAGAAATGGAGAATATTGCATCTTGTAACATCATAAAATCCCCTAGTGTCTAGCAGAATAAAAGACAACATCTGAGTGGGCAAGAATCTTATTGTTTCCAATAAGTCTGGTCTGGCCTGTTGTTCTCAGCACTCGCTGGATTGCTGGGGCAGATCCGATTAATTTCTAGGGCCTCCTCTGGGTTCTCTTTCTGAGAGTCCTGCTATGTGTCTCAACCTAACCTGGAGTGTGTCATGTAGCCCCGGCTCTCCTCAGATCCTCCTGCTGCCTCAGCCTCCTGAGTCCTGGGCAAGTGCGCGTGCACACACACACACACACACACACACACACACACACACACACTCCACTGTGCCTCTAGGTGTGAAGTTTTTACCCTCCTGGTGCTCTTGTGCTCACAGGGAAGACAGAATAAATAAGGAAGTGATTACTCGCTGTTTGTGCCCTGTCAAATCAGAAGGCTAAACCAAAGCTGGATCCGGAGTGCTCACTGCCACGTTTTTCTTCTATTGTTTATTGACTATTTTCCCAGCAGCAGTCTACTGGAGACCCTCGTTAGGACGCGTCTAGTAGGGAAATGGCAAAAAGATGAAAAGGGGGGTGATGAAGGGAAACCTCGTGTTGAGATAGGAGAAGGGAGTCATGGACAGACAATGCGGGAAAGCCCTTGGCTCTCTGTATGTTCCTACAGACTGGAAAAAGTGGGCCCTGAAACACAGGGATAGAAGAGCTCCCCCATCCTTCTTGTTAATCAACCCTCCAGCCCTGCTCTTTATAGGAATCAGGCATTTGTTCGGTCTTGCAAAAGAAAGCACTAAAATCTTTTCTTCCCTTTGGAACAGTGCCAGGGGACGAAGAGTAGAAAACACGTATAATCCTTCAGAAGTAGACACAAACCCTGTGTGGTGGGAAATGTTTGAGAACCCTTCACTTAGGAGGTAGAAGGTCAAGGCTAGTCATCCTGGGTTACAGGAGACCCTCGGTCACAAAGCAAAAAGCAAAACATAACAAACACAAGCTTTCCCTCAAAAAATAAAGAAAAGAAAAAGAACCTGGTTACCAACTGTTCTCCCCAACAACCTGCAGAGCCTTTGCCAGGGTCATGGCAGTACTCATTGTCTCCCCCTGGTGGCCAGGATAGCATAGGGCTGTCTAACCAGGATTATTCTTGATCTGGAAGATCAAATCAAATGGGTGCTAACACGGGAGGAATCTTCAGTGTCTTAAGTATCCTGTTTGGAAAGGTGAAGTGGACATCTTTTATGTCATTAGGAGGCACTGAAGATGCTATCGCATGTTAATACAGTAATAACAACTTCTGGTCTTATGTTTGAGGGGGATCCTTTGCTTTTGTTTTTGAGACAGACAGGGTCTCACTATGTATCTCTGACTGGCCTACAACTTACAATGTAGACAAGGCTGGCCTTGAACTCACAGAAATCTGACTGTCTCTGCTTCCCAATTTATGTGATTTAAAGTGTGCATCATCTTGCTTGAAATACAAACACTGGGACAGTGTCTCCCTTGTAACCCAGGCTGGCCTGGAATTCTTGGTGAGCTTCCTTTATCAGCCTCCCACATGCACAGACTGTAGGCACACACCACTGTGCCTGACTTTAACCTTCTCTCTTGTGCTCTCCAAGGATCTTGGTCTGTTTTGTCTGCCTGCTGTCCTTGCTAAAAGAAGGATAATCTGGGGGTGGGGCTGGAATTTTGCTCCTGGCTTCCATGACTTGGTCTCCCCCTATGGTCAGTTCCCTTCCCCCTAATCCAGAGGAGTGTTAGTATGTGCGAGTACTTTCCTAAGTAAGTGGATGGTTGAATTAGACTTTCTTTTTTGTTTTTCGTTGTTGTCATTGTTTGAGATGAGGTTTCTCTGTGTAGCTTTGGACCCTGTCTTGAAACTCACTCTGTAGACCAGGCTAGCCTCAAACACACAGAGATACGCCTGCTTCTGCCATAAAAAAAAAAAACCACGAAAAATACGCGGGGCGTTGGTGGCACACACCTTTATTCCCAGCACTCGGGAGGCAGAGGCAGGCAGATTTCTGTGAGTTTGAGACCAGTCTGGTCTACAAGAGCTAGTTCCAGGACAGCCTCCAAAGCCACAGAGAAACCCAGTCTTGAAAAGCAACAACAAAACAATAATGTGCATTTTCTACTTGGCAAGTACTCTTACTGAGCAAATGTAGCAATAGCCACACTCTCCTGTGGGCCAGGGGGATGTTTCTGCAGGCGAGATTTGGGGTGCAACAGGTGATGCTTTAAGGAGATGTTCTTTCAGGAGTATTTGGAGAGAAGGCAGACGGATTGGATTCAGCCTTGGACATGAGACAGGTTCCAGAGCATGACGGGAGAGAAAGCAAGGGAAGGAGGCATGGTGGCTCACACCTGTAATCCTAACTCTTGGGAATAGGAGACAGGAAACAGCAACAACAACCATGGGCTGGGTGTACAGGATCCGGGTTTGGGTCCCAGCATCAGCGTGGCAGCTTAACATCCATCTGTAACTTCAGTTCCAGAGGATCTGCTGCCCTCCTGTGGTCTTCCTAGGCACTGCACAGATGTGCCACACAACACTCATACACATAAAATGAAAATAAATAAATCTGAAGAAAGAAAGGAACCAAGGCCAAAGCCAAACTATCACATGTAGCAAGGACTGTTGTTTGCCATCCTTCACCTGTTTCGGGTTCCATCTTGGTGGCTCTTGTGCCGTATGTAGCCTGGAGTACAGGACAGGCAGGATGGAGGCAAGAAGGCCGTGATGACCACTGCTCTAACAGAGCATGGTTTGGTCTCTTGGTCTCTGTGCTGAGGCCCTGTCACACAAGATCAAACAGAATTGGCCTCTGTGTGTCTTTGCAACAGGGTCTTAGTCTCATCATTTAGGGCACACTGGTCTAGAATTCATGATTTTCAGCCCCACAACTGCTATTTTTTTTCTAATGCCATCATGTTCTTCTCTTTGAAGCAGACATGATTTACTCTTGCCACTTGGGCAAGGCCCTAAAAAAAGGCAACAACAACCCACAGTTCCAGAGTTCAAATTCGGGGTCAGTTTCTCCCCAAGTTAACATTAACCTTTAGGTAAACGAGCCACTCCTGCACAAGGGCTTGGTAAAGAGGAGCATTGTTGAAGGTCTGGGGAGTGGAACTGGTCGTTTGCCTGTGAGGAAGGGAGCAGCCCAAGGCCAAGACTTGATGTTCCTCAGTCCTCTCGAATGCTGCCAAGTTCACTGGGGACACTGACTCATATGGCTGCCCAGGTTTTCTCTGTCCTTTGTCCTGAGGGCAACCATGTTTTCCACGAGTGGAGAAATAAGCACAACCTGTGGCCAGAGCAGCATTTCTGGCTCCTTCCCAGGGGTGGTGGTGAGCATTTACTCAGAGCACGTATTTGAAAATCCTTGGCAAAGCCACAACAAAATGTCACATGGAGGGTTACTGTTAAATTATTCCGAGGGAGCCTTCATAGTTAGAGCTCTACCTGTTAGCATCGGGTTAGGTTCAGGCAAGCGCCATGGAGGAGCGCAAGGGTACTGTGACATCAAAAGACTCGGCTGTGGGGTGTAGGTATTGTCTAGAATTAGCAAGTTTGGATGGAAAAGGGAGACGATTCCTAAGAGATCCAGGGACTCTGGTGAGACTGCTGTAATTGCCAATTGCTGGAGGTCGTTAGCTGAAATTGTTACCAAAAAAATCCTTGGGATGTAACATGGTGAACACACACACACACACACACACAAAACACACACACACACACAAACACACACACACACACACACACACACACACACCTGAAGCTACATAATCTTTTGAGTCTTTTAATCCCTGAATATTGTCTTTTGTTTTGAACACAGAGAGTCTCATGTAGTCCGGGCTGGCCTCTAACTAAATTCATTCAACTCCTGATCCTCTTGCGTCCATCTCTCAAGGGCTGGGAACCACAGGAACAAGAATTGCCCTCAAAAGCTGGGGATGGGGGTACACAGCCATACCTCTGGTATTGGGGGGATGAATTGCCATGAGTCAGAGGGCAGCCTGGGTTACATAGTGAGATCCTGTCTCAAATAAACAGACAAACAAGAGGCAGGACAAAGAAGTAAAAGACCCTCTATACATGGAAATGTGTTTCTTGTTTTTCTTCTTTAGGAGATGGGGTCTCACTAGGCTCAATGATCCTCCTGCCTCAACCTCCCTAGTAGCCAGACCCTGGCCACCATCTCCAGCTTGAAAATGTGTTTTAGGGTGTTTAGATAATATCAAAATTGGGAGCAACTTACAAGGCAACTTACAAGGCAAGGGTTTGTTTACTTTCGGCACATTCCTTCTGAGGAATGTTTCCTAGCCGTTAAAAACCAGGAACATGCTGGCCTTGAAGGTAGCTCAGGGTAAGTGCGCTTCCTAAGAAGCCTGAGTACCTACCTGATTTTGACTCCAGAACCCACATAATAGGAGATACCTGACTCCCACAAATGGTCCTCCAAATAAATATATCTAGGGACATGCACATTTTGCCAACATAAATGGGCCTTTATGGTATGATAGTAAATAGGCAGAAAGGAGCTGTCAAAAATGGTTAATATGATGTCAGAATAATTACAATTAGAAATCAAGAATTAAGGAGAATTCATAACCAAGACAAAGTTTGTTAGGGTAGGCAAGTCACAGGTGATATCTACCCTCTCTTTTGTAGTTGTCGGTTGTTTTGTTGTTGTGGTTGTTTTCTGAGACAGGGTTTCTCTGTGTTATCCTGGCTGACCTGGAACTCACTCTGTAGACCAGGCTGGCCTCGAACTCACAGAGACCTTCCTGCCTCTGCCTCCCTAGTGCTGGGGTTAAAGGCGCGCACCACCATCACCTGGGTACCCTCTCATTTTTAAGGCCTTCTTCAACATGATTTCAATAATAATCTGAATGATAATATTTTTTTCTTTTAATCCAAAAGGTGTGTGTGGACAGAACAGGTAGTAAGTAAGTAGCAAAAGGCCTGTGGTCATCAAAGGAGAGGGACTGGAGTGGTGAGGTTGGTGGAGGGGCAGAGAGGAAGTGGCAGCATTGTGAAATGGGTTTATGGCCATAGTAGCCTTGCCTGTGAGGTGTGTGTGTGTGTGTGTGTGTGTGTGTGTGTTCAGGTATTTGGGGCTGGAGAGATGTCTCAGCAGTTAAGATGGGGCACTAGTTTTCCAGAAGACCTGAGTTCCATTCCCAGTACCCACATCTACTGATTTGTCACCACCTATGTACCTTATTCATGCCTGCATCTTGTGTGGGAGATTGTGTGTAGCACTGCAACGGTTAACAGACCTCAGCCTGCCTCCAGTGCACCCTGGGGACTCATACCCTCAGCTAGGAAGGCTTGAGGCTTAGTTCTGAGGCTGTCTCCAGACACACTCACTCACTCTAATAATAAGATTGTTTACCAGGTGGAACCTGCAGAGCAGCTCAGCCTCTCTCTGAAAAGCCCAGATGGCCAAAACCAAGGCCCAGGTTGGCTAAGTGAGTCCCCAGGGTCAGAGTCCTTGACAAAGGTGGAATTATTTCTTCCCCAGAGCGTGCACCAAGAGTGCCATTGGAGGGGTGGGGGGGAGATGCGGTTTTTTATAAACTCCCACATGAGCAAGGGAGGAGGGCCCCCTGCAGGTGGAACCAGGCAACTTCTGTTCGCTCTGCGCTCTCTCCAGGGAGGGCTGCTGCTTCCCCAGAGCCTCCTCCAGGGTTGGGGAGATGCTAGAGTGCCTGACTTCGGAGAGTGAGGAAGGGGGCGAAGAGAGGGAGGAGAGTTCTACAGAAGATCTAGAAGAGCTGAAAAAAGTTGTCGCCCTGGCTTTTGTGAGAGAGAACACCCAAAAGAGGCTTCAGAACGCCCAGCAGCATGGCAAGAAGAGGAGGAAGAGAAAAAGGTTAGTATGAAAATCGAGGAGTCGGGGCGGGGACGGGATCGGTGTTGATAAGAACAGGAGGGACCGGAGAGAAGAGGGCCTTGGCTGGTGAGAGAAAAAGGGGACACCGTGGGCTTGGCTCGTCAAGATCACACTACTTTCTTCAGTTCACATAAAAGAAGCCACTCTCGGTGTTCGGTTTTATGGAATCCCATAATACAGTGTGTATAACCTGGAGTCACACCTTGTTCTAATTTTTGTTCTACTTGTGTTTAAATGCTTTTTAAAGACTGGGTGGGGAGGGGTAAGAAAAATTTCCCTTCAGAAGTGTAAGCGCACCAGCGCGTGTGAGTCCTGGGAATTTCACACACTTGCAGTGTGACAGGACCATGGCGACTTGCCAGCCCCGACTGTGGCTTGTGCACTCTGGTTCTAAGTTAATACTCGGCTGTTTATCTACTTTCTAAACAGCTTCCTTTAGTGGGGAGAGAAGGAGACACTATTTTAGCCAAAAATATGTGATTTTTAAAATCCCTGTCTCTGTTGGGCTAATAGTGTAAAAGCATGGGGGCCGCTGGGTACGCAGCATAGAGTTAAGAGTGCTTACCTTTCAGGAAGGAGACGCTGGGTTCAAATCCCATTGCTGATAAAATTAAAAAGGGGTGGAGGCAATGATGTTAACATGAAGCCAAAAGCAAAATTAACCCTAATTGTAATATGTAGGTAATAACAGAATGTATAAACATATCCAAATAACAATTTAATATATAAATAATAGCAGAACTTTAAGGCCATAGTTCTGCACCCCCTAGTGATGGGGATGGGCGGGCCCAGCAGGCATAGTGTGGCAGAGCAGTCATGTGTGTGGGGTTCCAGGCCTCTGTTCTGGTCAGGGGATCTGTCTCTGTCTTGCTGTTTGCCTTTTTCTCTTTTCCAGATGATTGGTGATCAATCTATCCAACTGCCGCTATGAGAGTGGTGAGCATCTGTGTTCAAGGGGTCAGTAATGAGGCCCTGTGTGTGCCCGAGGGTGAAAAACCAGGTCTCCAATCCTTGGTTCTCCCGGCTCCATAGGCTATTAGAGGAAACTGAGAATCTCATTCTGAGAGTCACAGGTTTGGGCCACAGTGGTGTGCTGTAGTCTTACTTATTTATGCGTGTATTTGTGGCAGGTTTCACTAAGTAGCTCAGGCTAGCCTGAGACTCACAGTGTCAAATGTTTTTTCCTCACCATTTATCTCACTGATCAAGCCTGGCTCCAGATTCTGGTTTACATTCAGGGCTTAGTGTTTGGAGGCAAGCCAGAGGCCTGCTTCCTGGGGAAGGAAAGCCTGGTTAGGCCTAACATTCACCCCATGTAGCCCAGGATGGATCCTTCAACAACATTTCCACAAGGCAAGATGGCTTCCGGTCCCAAGGAGTCAGCTCTCTTGTTGCAATACTTGGTCCAGTAGTGCATAGGAAGGGACCCCCCCTCACCCCACCACACACACACACACAGACACACTCACACAGACACACACACACACACAGGCGCGCACACACACACAGACACACTCACACAGACACACACACACACACAGGCGCGCACACACACACAGACACACTCACACAGACACACACACACACAGGCGCGCACACACACACAGACACACACACACACAGACACACACACACAGGCGCGCACACACACACAGACACACACAGGCGCGCACACACACACAGACACACTCACACACAGACACACACACAGGTGCACACACAGACACACACACACAGACACACTCACACAGACACACACACACAGGCGCGCACACACACACACAGACACACACACACACAGACACACACACACACAGGCGCACACACACACACAGACACATGGAGCTCTTTCCTGCTTGTACTCCACAGAACTTTCTTTTTTGAACTCCTTCACAGTGCGCAGGGCAGCCCAGCAGTATGGCCTTCGAGAGGCGGGTGACAATGATGACTGGACTCTCTACTGGACGGATTACTCGGTGTCGCTGGAGCGAGTGATGGAAATGAAGAGTTACCAGGTATGTTCTTCCCTGGAGGTGTGGCATCTAGCCAAGGCTGGCCCCATTTGTATCATGGCACTCCGACATCCCTGCTTCCACTCAGCCAGAATTGCTCATGAATTCCGGCTTCCCTTGCAGAAAATCAATCATTTTCCTGGGATGAGTGAGATCTGCCGCAAGGACTTGCTGGCCCGGAACATGAGCCGGATGCTGAAGCTGTTTCCTAAAGACTTCCATTTTTTCCCTAGGACCTGGTGTCTCCCTGCTGAGTAAGTGCCCACTCCTCCCATCTCTTCGGCTCCCCTTCCCATCATCCTTTTTCTCTCTGGCCCTGACTCCCTGGCTGCCACTCTCCCTTCCCACGTGACCCTCTATATTTCTCCAGAAAAAGGATAAGGGTGTGTCCAAGGTTGAGAAAACACAGGCTCTGCCTGTAAAATGAAATGACAATCAGGGCTGAGTGCCTTGGAGGTTGGACCTGCAGTTAGGATGGGAAGCTGTTGGGTTTGAACTTGTTCCAACCACTTCCCTGTGCAGTCTCTAAATTTCTAAGGACAAAGTGGGGTTGTGGTTGGCATCTAGAGCAGGAGTAAGGAAGGCTGCCTAGCCTGTCCCATTTGATGGCATGGACAGCCACCAATCCTTCCCTTCAATAGCAGACATCCACTCCCAGAATGTGCAGTTGTCTAGATCAGTGGTTTTCAACACTCCTAACGCTGCAACCTTTAATGCAGTTATTCAGGTTGTGGTGACCCCAAGCATAAACTTATTTTTGTTGCTAATTCATAACTGTAATTTTGCTACGGTTATAAATCTTATTGTAAATACCTGTGTTTTCCCATGGTCTTGGGTGACCCCTGTCATTCGACCTTTAAAGGGGTCACAACCCACATATAATCTGTTAATTTGGTTTCTCTCCTTTTTATCCACCTTTATTTTTTTTTTTGAGGAAAGCCCTCACTACACAGCCAAGGCTAGCCCAAAGTCAGAGTCTGCCTGCTTCAGTCTCCTAAATGTTGAAAGTACAGGTACATACCACCATGTCCACTTTTAATTTAGTTTCTTTCTTCTGAGTACACTTTTTTTTTTAGACACAGCATCATGTAGCCCAGGCTGGCCTTGAATTCGCTATGTAGATAAGAATGTTCTTGGGCTGTTCATCTTTTGCCTCTGCCTCTTAAGTGTTGGGATTACATATGTATGTTATTACACCCATTTTGTATGGTTGTGGAGATTGAACCCAGAGCTTCATTCATGCTAGGCGGGTCCTCCATCAGCTGGCCCACATCTCCATCCTTTTTTTTTTTTTCCTGAGACAGGGTTTCTCTGTATTTGGAGGCTGTCCTGGAACTCACTCTGTAGACCAGGCTGGCCTCAAACTCACAGAGATCCGCCTGCCTCTGCCTCCCAAGTGCTGGGATTAAAGGCATGCACCACCAACACCTGGCTCATATCTCCATCCTTAGGCACACTTTTTTCAGAGTACATTCAAGGGTGTGATTTGTCTTCCTATACTCCTGCCTTAAGCGGAGGCATCACAGTGAGACATGGAAGTCCAGGCATGAGTAAGAGACCATGGTCCAGGTCACACTGTTGTTAGGGCTTGAGCCAGGAGCAAAACTTCGAATCTCCTGTGTGTAAGCCCAAGTCAAGCTCCCTGGGGCACCTCACATCACTCAGCCCAATTTATGTCATGTAATTAAGGAACGCGTGAGGCAGGTCTCATTATTCACATGGTGTGGAAGATGGAGATGAGGAAGCGAAGCCAATAAAATGTTACACAGCTGGGAAGTGGTGTGGGCTGGGTTTGAATCCAGTGTAAATTTCCTTTAAAGTTTGGTATCTGTCTACTGCTGGCTGGACCACTGAGTGTCTGTCTGTCGACACCAGGGCTTTGTCCCATCCATAGCTTCTCTCTCCTGTTTTCATAAAGAGCCTCCCGGGGCTGGAGAGGTGGCTCAGTGGTGAAGATCACTTGCTGGACCCTGCTTCAAATCCCAAAACCCACATATGAGGTGCCTCCCAGATCCCTGTAACTCCAGTCCCAGGGGGTCTAACACACTCTTCTGTCCTTCTCAGGCACTGGGCACAGACATGGTGCCCGGACGTACATGCAGACAAAACATCCATACACATAAGATAAATTAAAATAATGCATAGTTTTCCTTCTCATTGCTCCCAAGCTAAAGGTGTGTCTTGTCCCCTCCCTGCTGTGACAGCTGGGGAGATTTGCAGACTTACAGCAGGTCAAGAAAAAATAAGACGTACATTTGTAAGCCGGACTCGGGCTGCCAAGGGAGAGGCATATTTATCACCCGGACGGTGAAAGAAATCAAGCCGGGGGAGGATATGATCTGTCAGCTTTATATTTCAAAGGTACTTCCTTGCCATGATTATATATTTATTGCCCACAGCAGCCTCAGGCTCTGTGGGACAGAATGTGAAATGAAGTCAGTGGAAGACAGAGGTGGGGATGCGACTGAGCCTGTCTTGTGCCTTGGATTTGATCAGACCCAGGCCTTCTAAGTCACGATGGGCCTCGATCGTCCTTGCAGTCCCCACCAATGATGTGGCTTCACCAGGATGACCTCCCCCGCAAGAGGATGAAAGCTTGGTTTGTGGAGACCCCCACCTCATTTGAGAGAGGGGAGTCATCTAAGAGAGTTCATAGTCACTAGCTTTTCTCTGACTGAGGGCAGGGGGAGTCACAGGTCACAGTGATATAGCCCACTGCAGAGAGGGGTCCTTCTGGAAGTGTAGGTTACAGGGGCAGCGGGGGAGTGCTTGGAAAAGGCACCTGTAATGTTGCCCTGGAAACTCGTGTCCTGTCCCGGAAGGACTTCCCAGTCACTTGGTTCAGTTGCTAACACACCTCTTAGACAGGACTGCTCAGGAACTCAAGGCACACTGTGGTTTGGTGACCTCCCCAAGGTCGCCTGTCAGGTCTCAAGCCCAAATCTCTTTATCCTGTTCCCCACCCTGGGCAAGCTTACACTTTACACCGCTAGGCAATGCTGGAGCTGGCTCCCCCAAGAATGAAGTGGGAGCTCTCTCCACCCGTGACTGTCACCTCCAGCCGCTTACATGACTTCTGTCCTTTCCGCCCAGCCCTTCATCATCGATGGCTTCAAGTTTGACCTGCGGGTTTATGTGCTGGTGACCTCCTGTGACCCTCTCAGGGTTTTTGTGTACAACGAAGGACTGGCTCGCTTTGCCACCACCTCGTACTCCCACCCCTGCACAGACAACCTGGTGAGCGAGCTGAGGCGACATGCTGCCTTCCCTCCCCCTTAGCATGACACTGGAGCTGGCAGACATCAGAGGAGTACTTACTGTGCGCCTAGTTCCACGGGCTTCTCATGTGGTCCTCCCAGGAGCCTTCAAGACAGGGCTTACTATCCCGATTTTACAGAAGAGATTAAAACCTGCAGAGCAGCTGGGCAGTGTTGGTGCACACCTTTAATCCCAGCATTTGGGAGGTAGACACAGAAGGATCTCTGTGAGGTTGAGGCCTGCCTGGTCTACAGAGCCAGTTCCAGGATAGCCAGGGCTGTTATACAGAGAAACCCTGTCTCAAAAAAATAAAACGAACAAGGGGGTGGAGAGATGGCTCAGTAGTTAAAAGCACTGGCTGCTCTTCTAGAGGACCCTGGTTCAATTCCCAGCACCCACATGGCAGCTCACAACTGTCTGTAACTCCAATTCCAGAGGGTCCAGCATCCTCACACTGACATACATGCAGGAAAAACACCAATGCACATAAAATAAAAATAAATAAATTATTTTTTAAAAACCCTATAGCGTATAGGGGACTTGTCTAGTGTCACTCAGCTAGGAAGTGGTGCATCTTGGACTTATGGCCAGGCCTTGCAGACACCAACACCAGAACTACAGTGCAGAGGTGCTCACAGAGAGAGGGCCATGGGTAGCCTTCCAATCTTCCTATCCGTGTCTCAGAAAGAGTTGGAGTCTTACACCCCAGGCTATGGGCTATCCCTTTTTACCTCCTGTTTGCCCCTTTACATATGCCTATAAATCCCCCCCCCTTTCCCCATCCCTTTAAGATCCAGGGAGTTGTGTGGGGGATGGGGGTATGCAGTGCCTGGAGAGGATACAGGTGGCCTGGGCTTCAGCCTGACCCACAGTCTTGTGTCTCTTTCCCCAGGATGAGATCTGCATGCACCTGACCAACTATTCCATCAATAAACACAGTTCCAACTTCATCCAAGATGCTCATTCTGGCAGCAAGAGGTAAGAGGGATAGACGCTTCCCTCATCTTTCCAGGATCCTTCCCAAACCCACTCAGTCCCTGCCAGGACTTCCGCCTTGGGTCACATGATCTCCACAAAGGCTGCTTTGCCTCCCAGCCCAGAACAGACACTACATGTCAGTGCTCTGGACTGTTAATCATTAAAGGGAGGCCATGCTGTAAACCCTGGGAGGCTGGGAGGAGAGAGATAAACATGAACGTTTCCCCAGCAGAGCACATGCACACACCAAAACACCTCGTTACCATTGCCCTCCTGACGTTCCCAGATCAACAGCCTTGATTGATTGCTAGGCTGCCAAGTGAGAAGGCCTTGCCCGCTGTGATTCCTCAGGCTGTAGTTCCCTGGGGCGTTGGTTCCATTACAGCTTCTCAACTGGTGTGTCATGATGTCCTGGAGTCAACTGGCCTGTGGCTAGCCAGCCTTCAGATTGGGGAAAAAGAAGGGCTTCCTGAGGGTTTGGGGTCCCCTGCCACCGTCACACACAAGCAGCTTTCCTACTCACGTTATTGCCTCATCAGCTTGCATTTGAGAGAAAGGTAGACCAAGCGGCATGAGCGTGTCCAGGCAGAGACGGGGAGGCCAAAGGGAGCCTTTGGGTGCCAGGGAAGCTAGTAGGTGCCTATATATTTGTTAAGTTTTCAGCACCACACTGGCCAAGACATTGGAAGAGCACTCAGGAAGTTGGGAAGAGAGGGGTGTTAGGTCCTATCTCCATTTCACAGATGAGGAGACTGAGTCTCAGAGAGGTTAAATGGCCCGAGGTCACACCACACAGTTCTGATGCTACAGTTGGGTTGAGCAGCTCTGTTCACTGCCAGTCTCAGGGACTCATGGGTCAGGGAGGGATGGGGCATCTTAGTACATGGACTGTTACTAGTAGAGCCTTTATGGGAAGAGGATGTATACACGGTTGAGAAGATGTTCTGTGATGTTCTGTGTGTGTGTGTGTGTGTGTGTGTGTGTGTGTGTGTGTTGTACCAGAGCGCTGGCCTCAAATTCACTTGTAGTTGAAGATGACCTTTACCTCCTGATCTTCTTGCCTTCACTTCCCCAAGTGTTTTTGAGACAAGTCTTGAAATGGAGGTAAGGCTGGTTAGAATTCACTTTAGCCTCGAATTCCTAATCCTCCTGCCTCAAGGGCTGAGATTACAGGCGTGCATAACCATGCACACCTACACCTCCCTCCTTTTTAGAGGATGCCAGTCCCGTGTTGTCTGAAACCCTTGTCACTGCTTCTTCCTGTCCAGACTGTGGATGCCCTGGAGCCTCCTGCACTGGTGTGTGTTCAGCATCCCTGGTTGGGAGGCCTAGCACATCACCCCACTTTGACAGCTATCTGCTGAGTTAGCCTAGACAAGTTGCTTTGGCTCTGAGCCTCCATCCCTGGGTTTTAAGATACAGCCAATGAGATAACGTGCCCCGTCCTGGACTCTTTATGGGGTCCCCGTGAGACTCAAATGACCCATGTTGCAGCCCACTATTCTAGTAGTGTTAGTTCTCCTTGGTTTAAGGGACTTTATTTGCCTTCTTTTATGAGAAGTGATGTCATCTCTGGGCATTGTGGTGTGGCTGACATACAGCGGTGCTGGGTTCTAGCACTCGGGCTCTTTAGACTGAGGCAGAAGGATTATACATTTCAGGCTGGTTTATATGGGCTATATAGAGAGACCCTAGAGCCAAGATAGATAGATGGAGAGAGAGAGAGAGAGAGAGAGAGAGAGAGAGAGAGAGAGAGAGAGAGAGAATGCACCTCAGGCTTTGATGGACACGGTGTTATAGGAGCAGCCAGACCAAAATAAAATGTGGGCACATGTGGTAATATTTTTTAATCCCCTCTGGCAGTACTGAAGTCAACCCAGGGCCTCGATATGCTAAACAGCGTTCTAGCATGAAGCCTCAAATAACACCCAGCTTCTCTTCGCCCCTCTTACCTCTCTACTCTTCTCCATTGGAGCAGTCATCTGCCCCCAGGGCCTCCACCCTGGCCTTTCCTGGCTCGATCTCTCTCCCCTAGAGGCCCATCTCTCCCCAGGTCAGCAAGTGTGCCAGAGTGAGCCTGATTTTATAGAAGAGCCACACCCACAAGCCTTTCAGCCATGCACAGATTAATCCACTTAAGAGGGCAGAGGCCTCCCAAGGGTCAGGTCTCCCAATACTACAGCACTGGGGCCAAGAATCTAACACTTGACCTTGGAGAGAAATACTCAGTACGTAGTGTCCTGGCCTATAGTGTGCTTCTCTTACTCTTACCCCTCTCTCTTCCTTTCTTTTTTATCTATCCCTCTTTCCTCTTCCTCCTCTTCCTCCCTCCCTCCCTCCTTCCCTCTCTCTCCCTCCCTCCTTCCCTCTCTCTCCCTCCCTTTCTCTCTCTCTCTCTCTCTCTCTCTCTCTCTCTCTCTCTCTCTCTCTCTCTCTCTCTCTCTGTCTCTGAGAGCCCTCCCTCCCATCTGCTGAGACAATTTTCTCATGCAAACTATCTTGCCTCTCAGAGTTGGCAACTGATACAAAGTGCACCCCCAGTCCTGCCTCCACCTTCCCTTCAGTAGGAGCAGGAATCCAGTCAGTCCCTGAGAAAGACAGAAACATTGTCATCACGGAGGGACTCTGGACAGACACCAGATACCTTCATCCTTCACCGTGCCTGGCACACACCTGATGTTAAATTGAATTGAGTCACCACTAGGCATTAGGAAATTGCCAGAAAGAGTATTATATTCATGGTGATGGGCCCTGAGTCATCAAGAAAAGGTTAGGATGTTGTGTTATAAGAAGTCAGGGAACTGTAGTCCATTCCAGGAAATTTTATTTGCCAATTAGGCAAATTAAATGTTTTTTTTCCCACTAGAAAGGCTTGGCTTTTCCAACAGTATGGAAATCCCATTTATGCGCAATGTTTCTATCTGACAAAGTCGGGCAGAGAAATGGCCTTTGTGTTGAGAGTCTTTGTTTATCAGTCCTGGGTATTTCACACAAGTTGAGTCCATATGTAGTCCTCAGGCTTCCTGTGACAGAAGAGGCAGTTGCACAGACCGTCACTTACATGGCAGTCCCTTAGCATAAGTTCCTTGACCCCGGCAGGCCGGCTCCTCTCTTTCTGACCCTTCCCTGGATTCTAGTGAAATTATTTTTTTAAAACAATTTTTTGCCAGGCAAACAATTTAATCTCAGTCCTTGAGGTGTAGAGGCAGGGGAATCTCTGGATTGGAGGCCAGCCTGGTCTACAGAATAAGTTCCAGGACAGCCAGCACTACACAGAGAAACCCTGTCTCAAAAGACAAAGAAACACAATTTTGATTACATTTATTTATTTGGGGGGGGGAAATAGCATGGTGGGGGGGATGCCGTGGTGCTGCGGTGCCCATATGAGGTCAGAGGATAGCCCACACCCCATCCACCACGTAGATGCTGAGAACAAGTGCTGGCCAGCAGCTGCCTCTGTCTATGACTGGGCGGCCAGGCACAACAGGGTGCCAGAGACTGAGAGGTTTCCTGGAGTGCAGTGGTTTTGTGTTTACACTGGGGACAGTATAGTTTGCCTGGGACAGCTGGTAACTCTGGGTACAGAAATGCTTTGGGGCTGCTGTTCTTTGTAGGCAGCCCTAAAACAGGATTTTGTTTTCAGTGACCCAGAATCTCCTCAGATGACTGAAGTGTGATCAAGGTATAAGTGTCCTCCAAAGCCTTCCCACATATTTCTAAAGGTCACCAAAGGCTGAGAAACCACTGCCACTGAAGCAAAACAGTAATGTGAGGAGTGTGTGTGTGTGTGAGTGTGTGTGTGAGAGAGTATGTGTGTGTGAGTGTGTGTGTGAGTATGTGTGTGAATGGTATGGGTATGTATGTGTGTGAGTGTGTATGTATGTTGAGTATGTGTGAGTGTGTGTATGTGTGCGTGTATGTATGAGTGTGTGTGAGTGTGAATGTGAGTGTGTGTGTGCATGTTCATTCTTGGAGATCTTCATCCAATACCCAGCCCTTTTTTTGTGCCCACAGATTTTTTTTTTAGAACATTCCCTGGCTGTGCCTACCCCGAGGTTCTGGTGGTCTGAGGAGTCTGGTTTGGACCCCAGCCCAGTTTGATCTGGCCTCAGCATCACTCTGGCTTTGGGGTGTTCTTTGCCACTCATCTCCAGAAGTTTCTGCTTTTCACCATGCCACGGTGTTGATTGGCCAGGAATAACTCTTGCCCCATGTTTCCTTTTTCAGGAAACTCTCCACCTTCAACTCGTACATGAGGACTCATGGTTATGATGTGGAGCAGATATGGAGGGCCATTGAGGATGTCATCATCAAGACGCTCATCTCTGCTTACCCGGTCATCAAGCACAACTACCACACCTGCTTCCCCAGCCACACGCTCAACAGTGCCTGCTTTGAGATTCTGGGTTTTGACATCTTGTTGGACCACAAACTCAAACCCTGGCTGCTGGAGGTAAGGAAGTTAGGGGTGTAAGCTGTCCCTGTTACTGGGGTACCTCAGCCTTGGGCACTTGGCCTTCCTGGGTTGCTTTGATCAACTTCCCCTGCCACTCCTTTCCATGGTGCTTGCTGTTCCTGGGGCGTGAGGCTTAGCTTGAGAAGTGGCCAGCAGAGGGGGGTAGATGGCTGGGAATTAGAGAATTCCTTGCGCTTTCCTGAAGTCCAACCAGATTTATGACTGCCACCGGTCTCAGGCACGGAGGGATTGTAATGACCACTTTGCTTCCTGTGTTTCTCACAAAGAGGCTGTTCCTCCCCAAAACTTGCTTGCCAGTGATTGTGTCAAGTGGGATCGTCTTTGCCTGGCTCTCAGGGACCTGAACTACCCAGTTCCAGACACTGGCATAGGTGATTCTGTCATCACAGAGTGGGGAAGCCCAAACTCAAGCTGTGGGTAGGAAAAGACAGAGATTTCTGAGTGGCAGATTCACTTCCTGATAAGATTGACCCTCTGGAACTTTCCTAAGCAGCCATTCAATCTGTATGAGGACCGAGGATACAGAGTTGTAGCTGGAATACCAGGGGCCTCTGACCTCCATTATTCTCGGGTTCATGAAGGGGGCACTGTTTGGAGCTCCCACCTCAGAGACAGTACAAACGGCAGCAGCAAGCCTCCAGAAGCTGCTGAAGAACCACAAATGTCACACAAATGTAGATGAGCAATACTGACTCTTCTGTGGGCAGGAACTAGGCTCCTAGTCTTCTTCAGCTGCCTCTCCTTCAACCCTATTGACTTCCAGAAAGAATCACTCTGCTTCTGAACTTTGACTTGGCCTCTATGTTTTCCTCTGTATTTCTCATATTCTCTCTTTCTTTTCCTCCCTCCTCTCCTCCCTCCCTCCCTCCCTCCCTGCTTCACTCCTTGCTTTTCTTTCTTCACTGTGTAGCCCTGAAACTCACTCTGTAGCCTACACTGGCCTTGAACTCACAGAGATCCACCTGCCTCTGCCGCCCCATCCCCAAGTGTGGGATTAAAGCATGTGCCACTTCCTCTAGTATTCTTTCTGTTTTTCTCTCCTCTCCCCTCCTCTTCCACCTACCTACCCCCTTTTTCTTTTTGAGTGAACGTTTCTTTATTTAGCTCTGGCTGTCCTGGAACTCGCTCTATAGACCAGGCTGGTCTCAAACTCAGGAGATCCGCCTGCCTCTGCCTCCTGAGCTGAGATCAGGGCGTGCGCCACCACTGCTGGGCTCACTTCTGCCTTCTTCCCGTCCCCATTCCTTCCTTCCTTTCCTCCTTTTGTTTTTATTTGCTTGTTTGTATGAAATAGGGTGCCCTTTTATAGCACAAGCTATTCTGGAACATACTGTGTTGCCTAGATTGGCCTCAAAGTTGTAATAGGTCTGTTGCCTCAGCCTCCCGAGGGAATTTACAGGCAGAGCCACCTAACCCTGTCTTAATCCTGCCTGGTTAATCACTTTAGACCTCTTCCTCCCATTCTGGTCTGTGGGTCCGTGGAGGGCACCGAACGTGTGAGCAAACACAAGCCCACGTGACAGAGGAACCATGGGGATGGAACTCTTGCTTCCAGAGGAGAAAGGACTGAAATAAAGAGCTGGTAACAGTGGTAGTGCAGCCTTTAATCCCATCACTCAGGAAGCTGAGGCAGGCTCGTCTCTGTGAGTTCCAGGTCAGCCTGGTCTATGAGTTTCAGACCAGCTAAGGCAATATAGAGACCCTGTTTCAAAAACAAACAAACAAAATCCCTCCTGGTTACACTAGAGGGATTCCACTTCCTGCTCTCCCTGCTTTCTTCACAGAGGCTCCAGGGTAGACCTCCCTCCGCTCCCTTCCACTCACCTTGACAGCCGGGCCTAAGAGGCGGACCTTAGCAGTCCCTGAGGTGGCATCTTGGCCTCACCTGTGCTCCCACACTGGTCAGCCGCATCCCCCACTGCTGTCTTGTCTTCACAGGTCAACCATTCTCCAAGCTTCTCCACTGACTCCAAGTTGGATAAAGAGGTGAAAGACAGCCTGCTCTACGATGCACTGGTCCTCGTCAATCTGGGGGGCTGCGACAAAAAGAAAGTCTTGGAGGAAGAGAGGCAGCGGGGACGGTTCCTGCAGCAGTGTCCTTCTCGGGAGATGAGGTACAGCCGTGCCCCCGTCCCAGGCAGCCTGTTCCCTTACTGCCCTGCCCTCAGTAAGCCTGTCCCCGATTGTGACGTCTACCAGTTATGTGGCCTTTTTGTCACTTCCTAATCTCTTGGGGGTCTTTCTGTGAAGTGAAGCTACATATACATGAGATATTAGGGGGACTGAATGACATTATCATATGAAGCCTTACCATAGTGCCTGGCCCCTTAACTTGTTAGAAGTTAAGGTTCTTGACTGTTGGGGTAGTGAGATGTCTCAGTCAGTAAAGGCACTTGCCGTCGGCTGTACATATGAATTCCATTCCTAGAGTCCACATGACGAAGGAGAGAACCAACATGCACAAGTTGTCCTTTGGCTTCTGTGGCATGTATACACATATGCACACATACACACTATACACATATGCATACATACACACTAAATATTTATCAAAAGATTCCTAATTGTATCTTTTGTTGTCGTTTTGTTTTGTTTTTCAAGACAGGCTTTCTCTGTGAAACAGTCCTGGCTATCCTGGAACTCACTCTGTAGACCAGGTTCACAGAGATCCATGTGCCTCTGTCTCCCAAATTATGGGACTAAAGGTGTGCACCACCACAGCCTGGCTTCTAATTGTATTTTACTGTGAAAGCACTTGAATAGCATAGCAAGCCTGAGATCCTAGGGGTGGGAGAGAGAGAGAGAGAGAGAGAGAGAGAGAGAGAGAGAGAGAGAGAGAGAGAGAGAGAGAGAGAGAGAGAGAGAGAGAGAGAGAGAGAGAGAGAGAGAGAGAAAGAGAGAGAGAGAGATCTGACTTGGAGTTGGCAGAAAGGCATATTCGACTCAAGCTCAGGGCCTTACATATGATAGGCAAACAATCATTGAGCTGTTCCCTGGCCTTGGCCTCGTGCTTTTTTTTTTTTGGTACAGAGCCTTTGTTGAAGTCTTTAACGTGTGTGTGTGTGTGTGTGTGTGTGTGTGTGTGTGTGTGTGTATGTGTGTGATATGTGCACATGCACAGAGGCCAGAGGAGGACATCATATATACTGTTCTATCAGTCTCTATCTCATTGCTTTGAGACAGGATCTCTTACTGACTCTGGAGCTGGACTGGTGGTCAGCAAGCCCCAGTGATCCTCCTGTCTCCACCCACTTCCGCATCAGGGTTTCAGACTGATTTTTGCTTGCTTGTGTGTGCCCAGCCACGCCCAGCTGTTTATGAGACTACTGGGATCTGACGGAGGATCCGCAAGCTTGCATACCATCTCTCTGGCCAGCACTTGTTTTTCATTTTTGGGTTTTTGATGCATTCTTTGTTCTTCTTGTTTTGTTTTCTGAGATAGCATCAGATACTACGATTCCTATCTGGAAACCGACATGGATAAGTTCAGCTGGCTGGGGACAGCTCTAAACTCCAGAGCCCACGGTGCCTGCTGCCTGGGACTCCAGAAGGCCTTGTACTGTGCTGTCCCAATGCCCTCAGGAATAAGGTGTTAGCTGTCACACCGAAGGCCTCCTTTGTGTTACTTGGCTGGAAAGCCGGGTGGTTCTTGACATCCCTGCAGTACACTGTGTAGGAAGCTTATGCTGCTACTCCACCTGGTCTCCTCCTCCTGGGGGGCGGGGTGAGGAAGCGTGAGAACTTCCTGGCTCATAAAGGCTTATTAAGTCCATCTAAGAAGACCTCAAATTTAGCAAAATATGAGCTGCTGTTCTCCAGAGCAGGGTAATGGGGGCGATGAGTGGGAAGGTGGCGACAGTCTGCCCGGTTGACTATGCCAAGGGGGAAATGGGTTTTACTCACAAAGGCAGAGGCTTTGGTTGAGCTTGCAAGAAACTCCCTCTCGAATTGTGATGCCGACTGTCCCAGGAGAGCTAGAACCCCCTTTGAGAGACATCCTTGCTCTTATTTAACAAATACCGATCAGTCACTATTATGTGCAAGGCCCTAAATGACACCCAGCTTGTACACGTCCCTTCCAAGAAGATACAACTGCAGCCTTGTCTTCTGTTTCCCCACAGGATGGAAGAGGTCAAGGGTTTCCAGGCAGTGCGGTTACAGAAAACGGAGGAGTATGAGAGGAAAAACTGTGGCGGGTTCCGCCTCATCTACCCTGGTCTGAATTTGGAAAAGTATGAGAAGTTTTTCCAGGACAATAGTTCCCTCTTCCAGAATACTGTTGCTTCCAGAGCCCGAGAGCTGTACGCCCGGTAGGAAGGCTTCCTCTCAGGCTGAGGCGGGCTGGGTGTCATGGTAACCGACTGTGCTTGATCTACTCCTCTGGGTGGCCCAAGGTGGCAGGGAGAATTTCTGTGTCCAGTTCCCAAACTTGCATCTGACAGAAGAACATTCGGTCTGGGTCTCACAAAGACCAGGAACTGGAAGATTCCACAGTACAGTGAGTCACTAAGTAGCTGAATGCTGCCTCCCTTAGTCCCAGCACTTGGGAGGCAGAGGCAGGCAGATCTCTGTGAGTTCGAGGCCAGCCTGGTTTACAGAGCGAGTGTCAGTACAGGCTCCAAAGCTACACAGAGAAATCCTGTCTCAAACAACAAAAATAATAATAATAAATCAAATTGATGAGCTACTGTTTTAGGCACTTACCTTGAGACAAATGCCCGCCCCACCACCTCAGAAGTGTGTGATGTATCCAGGTTATATGAAAATCCAAGAGCTTGAAGGGGGCTATCCTGTTAGGTCCAGTCCCCACCAGGCACCTCATTTATGAGAGAGGATGTCACAGAGGAGGTCACATAGCAAGATGACACCAAAAGATTACCCTGTCCCCTGACTCCTGAGACCAAGTGATGTCCTCTGGTCTACCTCCTTTGGTCCAGTACCAGGATTCACTAGCCAGAGAGCCCAGCATATGAAGTGGCCCAATATGGGGGCACTTGGCCTTAGCCCTCCTACCTAAGTCTTCTTTCTAGGGAAGAGGGAAATGAGCAGTTCCCTTTACTATGCCTTCCTTGAAAGGATGCTATTCCCCAGTCTGGGGATGTTGGAAGGACAGACAGCTCTTTCTCACCCACACTGTTCCTTGGCCTTCAGTCACTTGTGCAGGAACTCTGTTTCTCCATTCCATCCTTTTTGAAAAATTATTATTTTTTAGCTGGGCATTGGTGGCTCATGCCTTTAATCTCAGCTCTCAGGAGGCAGAGGCAGGCGGATCTCTGTGAGTTCGAGGCCAGCCTGGTCTACAGAGCAAGTTCCAGGACAACTTCCAAAGCAATACAGAGAAACCCTGTCTCCAAAAACCAAAAAAAAATATTATTTATTTTACTTTATGTCTGTGGGTGTTTTGTCTGAATGTATGTCTGTGTGGTATGTGCCTTCAATGCCTGCAGAATCTAGAAGAAGGCATCAAATCAACCCCCTGGAATCACAGACAATAGTGAGCTGCCATGTGGGTGCTGGGACTCAAACCCGGGTCTTATAGAAGAGCATGAGGTGCTCTTAACCACTGAGCCTTTTCTCCAGCCCCTCTCCATTCCATTTTATCTATCCTCCAAGTAGAATGCTTGGTCCCTAGCCCATGACACTCACCTGTTCTTCAATCAACAGGCAACTGATCCAGGAGCTGAGGCAAAAACAGCAAAAGAAATTGATCCTAAAGAAAGAGAAGAAGGCAGAGATGCAGGGCGAGTCTGTTGGTGAGCAGGCAAGAGACAAGTCCATGAAAGCCGGGCAACAGAGACAGCAGCAGAAGAGCAAGACCACCACTCATCCCCCCAAACAAGTAAACTCAGATGGGGGGGATGTGTGTATAGCCAGCACCCTGCCCCAGCTTGGGCCAATCCGTGGGAGGGTGCCACGGAGACCTCTGCTCCGAGCACAGACACACTGATGGGCTGCCCAAAGGGCTGAACTACAGGAAGGGGTCGAGAAGGCAAACAGACTGGCATCTCTTAGAGGATCCCTTCTCCATCCTGACAGTAGAGGATGCTCACTGGTCTCTCCTGCTTACCTTTGGGAGTAAGAGCGGCTTGACTCTGCTGGGGGCTGAACCAGGGCCCACGCAGGGAGTGTGCTCCACAACTGTGTCTGTTCTCTTCTGTCATCTTCGACCTGGGTGGGAATGTTCCTACAGCAGGCTCCTCAGGAGGGCTGCTGGGAGACATGAGCCTCAATACTTCAGGGGATCACTAAAAATGGCTGGGTGCTTCCTTCATGCTCACTGGCTACACAGGGTGGCCCAGTCCCCCCCCCCGTCCCCCCGTCCCCCCCCCCCTCCGCCAACTGCTCCTTGTCCTGGGACTAAATCACTGGGTTCCACCTCCTCCGCCTCTGGTTCTCTTCTACCTCAGTGAAAAGAGGCGACACAGATGACAGTACCTCTCCTTGTCATTCTTGGCTTTTGTTTTCTGTGCATTTTTTGATCATTTAAGGTAGGGGTCTCGTGTAGTACAGGCTGATCCCAGACTTGTTTTGTAGTTCAAGATAATGTAGAACTGATTCTCCTGCCTCCTCCTCCTGAGTGCTGGGATTATAGGCATGAGGCACAAGGCCTGCTTAGTACAGTGCTGAGATCATGTATACCAGGCTGTTAATTGAATGCTATACTGCCAGCCTCCCTCTGATCTTCTGTATTTTTCAAAATGTCTCACTCTCACTGTTGAGATCTGCTGGCTGGCCTGGAACTCACTATGTGGACCATGCTGTAACCTATGGTAACCCTGCTTCTGTGACTGGAGTGCTGGGATTGCAGGAGTTTATCTCCTTAGTCTTGAAGACTTCCCGGGAAGGACAAGGCTAGAGCTGGGTTGGGGACTGTTTGGGAATCTGATGAAACCTGTGGAATACCTTACCATCAAGTATATACTGTGCTGTTTGAAATCTCAATTTCAAGTGGCTAACAACTCCCTCCCCCAATCCAGCCATGAGCTTTGTATGGGTTCTGGAAGCCTGGGCTAAGAGTTGCAGACTAGAAAGCCTTTGGTGCCTCCTGTTTCCTTTCTCATGATTTCTTTTGCACCTTCCCTGGGGTGCAGATGAGTCTGATGGTGGACAGGACTGCGTTCCCCCACGGGCTGTGTGTCTGATTTCCTCCTTTCCAGTGCTACCACCCAATGACTTTAGTATCCTGCACACCTGGCTTGTTCTTGAACATCAGAGGCATAAGGAATAATGAAACCGCCAGTAGCCTCCACCAGGACCCCAAGGAGGCCAGCCTCGCTCCCTGCAAGCCCATGTCAGCGAGGCACTACAATTCTGTCCCTGACCTAAGGAATTCAAATCTCAACTGCTCTGGGACAGAGCTCTGTAGGTCCAATTCCAAAATCAAGGAAGTGAAGTCGGCCTTTTCAGTGAACATAATCAGCAATAATATCCTGGTAAGTAGAGGGCTGTGTTCTGGAAGGGAGTGGTAAGAGTCATGGCTTCTGGTCCTTTCTCTGTCCCTAACTTGTAGCTCTTCGAGTACCCACTGATGCTACCCAAGACTCAGTTTTCCAGGTTGTGAAGTCCGAATAGTGGGATGGCATTCCTGCTGGGAGGCTAAGCCTGCAATAGCTTTGAGGAGATTGTCCTCCTTTTCTTTTCTTTTTTTTTTTTTTTTTTTTTTTTTTTTTGGTTTTTCGAGACAGGGTTTCCCTGTATTGTTTTGGAGGCTGTCCTGGAGCTAGCTCTGTAGACCAGGCTGGCCTCGAACTCACAGAGATCTGCCTGCCTCTGCCTCCCGAGTGCGAGTGCTGAGATTAAAGGCGTGTGCCACCAACGCCCGGCTGACTGGATTCCTCCTTTTCATGGGCAGGTTGCCATTCCTGCTAGTTTCATCCAGTGCTCTGCCTCAAATCTATTCACTTAAAACAGCACCATGTGTTCTCTCATGGTTCTAGAAACTGAAGTGTGGGCAGAGCCAGGTTCTGTCCAATGTCTCTGGAGAAAAAAACTTCATTACCTTCTGATGGCTGCTGGCAAGCCTCAATGGTGACAACATCATTGCCTACGTGGGACATACTGGCCCTTTCCTTATAGTTCTTCCATGTACAGTTTTTCATTTTTGGCTGTTGGGTTTTGTTTTGTTTTATTTGTTTGTTTTTAGGCAGGGTCTCACTATGTAGCCCTGGCTGGCCTGCAACTCCTTGTATAGATCAGGCTGATCAAAAATTCTAGAGAGCCCCCGCCTCTGCCTCCTGAGTGCTGGAATTAGAGGTGTGTGCCACCACACCTAACAATAAACTTATGTTTATGGGATAGGTGAGGTGAAGGGTGCCTGTGGTCCCAGCTATCTGGATGGTTGCTGAAGCAGGAGGATTGCTTAAGCTCCAGAATTGAGGGCCAGTCTGTTCCACTCCAATACTTTCTTCAGTGTGTGGTGTGGTGTTGTGTGTTGTGTGTTGTGTGTTGTGTGTGTGTCTGAGTGTGTTTCCACCACTTGAATGCAATTCCTGCAGAGGTCAAAAGAGGGAATCAGATCCCCTGGAACTGGAGTTAGAGGAAGTTGTGAGCCACTATGTAGGTACTAGGAACTGAACCTGGGTCTTCTGCAAAAGCAGCAAGTGTTCTTAAATTGCTGAGTCATCTCTCCATACCCCAATCTATCAATATATATATATATATATATATATATATATATATATATATATATCCATGTGGTGGTGGCACATGCTGGTAATCCCAGCACTCCAGGGGCAGAGGCAAACAGATCTCTGAATTTGAGGTCAGCCTGATCTACAGGGCAGCCAGGGATACACAAAGAAACCCTGGCTTGAAAAACCAAAAGAAAAAAGTATATATAATAAATGTTCACAAACACAGAAACAAGCATAAAATCTTTATAGTACCCCCTCCATGTTCATAGGTTCTACATCCACAGGTTCACTGATCTACAGATCAAAAAATATTTTTAAAAAATAATGTAGTTACCAAACCTATAGAGCTTAGTTTTTAAAAGTGTGTGCGTGTCGCCGGGCGTTGGTGGCGCACGCCTTTAATCCCAGCACTCGGGAGGCAGAGGCAGGCGGATCTCTGTGAGTTCGAGGCCAGCCTGGTCTACAAAGTGAGTTCCAGGACAGCTTCCAAAGCCACAGAGAAACCCTGTCTCGAAAAACCAAAAAAAAAAAAAAAAAAAAAAAGTGTGTGCGTGTGTGTGCTTGTGTGTGCACACTCCAGACAACAACATTGGGTATCACTCATCCGGTGCCATGCACCTTGTTTTTTGGGAGAGGAATTCTCTCTCACTGGCTTGGAAGTTACCAAGTAGGCTAGGCTAGCTGGCCCAAGTGCTCCAGAATCCTTCTGTCTTTGTGTCTCTACTGGGAAGATTACAAATACAAACTTTTTAAACAAAACAAAATAAGTCAGGCAGTGGTAGTATACGCCTTTAATCCCAGACCTCTGGAGGCAGAGGCAAACAGAGTCTGAGGCCAGCCTGTTTATGCAGCATTTATGCAGCATTTCCATTGTATTAGACATTAAGTCCATCTAGATGTGATTTAAAGTATCTAAGAGGCAGGTGTGGTGGTACACACCTGTGATCCCAGTACTAGAAAAGTGGAGACAGGAAGGTCCACAGTTCATGGTCATTCTTGGCTACGTATTGGTCAGCCTGGGATCCACAAAGTAACAAAAACCACACACACATAATAACAATAAAGAACTATTTGGATGAAATGTGTAGGTGACACATGAGCACTACATTTTATATAATAGACTTGATGGTCTTTGGATTATGATACCCTTGGGATGGAGTGTCCCTGGGACAGTGCTCTATACACATCAAATGACAACCTTTACAAATCATCTTCCGCTACAGAACCAGGCCAAAGAAACAGCAACAATGAACTGTTTAGAGATTATATCCAGCAGTCAATTGTCTGGCTTTATTTTAAAAACTTTAAAACCAGGTGTGATGGTGGATGTCTTTAATCCCAGCACTTTGGAGGCAGAGGCAGGTGGATCTTTGTGAGTTCAAGGCCATCCTGGTCTACAGAATGAGTTCTAGGCCAGACTGGGCTATACAGAGAAACCCTGACTCAAAAGCAACAGCAAAAGTGTATACTCAAATCACTGAAGAGACAGACAGACAGAAAGAATGTCCTTTGGGCTCTATGATGGTTTTGGCAGAGATTGTTGGGGACACAACAAAAACATTAGACAAGCAAGACTTCATCAAACTCAGAATCTCTCAGCAAAGGCAACAATAAAGAGTGGAAAGTTGACCTACAGGGTGAAGAATCAGTCTGCAAAGCATGCATCTGAGTTCAGTCTGCAAAGCATACATCTGAGTTTTTTAAAACTCTGCTCTGGCTACAGTCAGTAAGCAAGCACCTTTAAGAGCTGTTAAGATGGCTCTGCAGTGGGCTGGAGAGATGGTTCGGTGGTTAAGAGCACCGGCTGCTCTTCCAGATAGACCCAGGTTCAATTCCCAGCACCCACATGGCAGGTCATAACTGTCTATAACTGCTGATCCAGGGGGCCTGACACCTTCACACAGACAAAGCACACACATCCTCATACATGCAGGGAAAATACCAGTGCACATGAAATAAGAATAAATAAATTATAAAGTTTTTGTATGCTAATAGAACAATGCTTGGGTCATCCTAGAGCCAACTTGTAGCACGAATAATAAAAACCCAGAGATAGATGTTAGGGTTCAAGCTGAAGATCAGAAAAGAAAAGCAGCCAGCCACTAGAGAGCTCTTACCTCTCCCAAGGCTGGGGCAATCCTGTCCTCAGCGTGACTGCAGACTGAATACACTGCACTCCTGTCTCCACCCGCCTTGTATTCCTTGTAATCCTCTCTAGGGCACCACTACCTCTATGGCTAACTAGTGTGGTTGCTGGGATTAAAGGTGTGTGTCACCACTGCCTGCTCTGTGTGGCTAGCTTTGCACTATGATCTTCAAGCAAGCTTTATTTGTTAGATCATAAACAAAATACTCACCACACCAACCTTTTTGTTTTATTTTGTTTTGTTTCTTTATGTAGCCCTGGCTGTCCTGGAACTCACTATGTAGAACACCTTGAATTGATAGAGATCCACTTGCCTTTGCCTCCTGAGTGCTGGGATTAAAGACATGTGCCACCACACCCTGCCCAGAGTCAACTTTTTAAGACTAATTTTTTTGTTTTGTTTTTCGAGACAGGGTTTCTCTGTCTTGTTTTGGAGGCTGGCCTGGAACTCTCTCTGTAGACCAGGCTGGCCTCAAACTCACAGAGATCCGCCTGCCTCTTCCTGCTGAGTGCTGGGATTAAAGGCGTGCGCCACCCACGTCTGGCTTTAAGGCTAATTTTTTTTTTTTTTTGGTTTTTCGAGACAGGGTTTCTCTGTATTGTTTTGGAGGCTGTCGGTCCAGCCTGGCCTCGAACTCACAAAGATCCGCCTGCCTCTGCCTCCCGAGTGCTGGGATTAAAGGCGTGCGCCACCACCGCCCGGCAAGGCTAATTTTTTTTTTTAAAAAATGTATGTATATGTGTCTGTGCCTGTTTGCATGTGTACCATGTGTGTCGGGTGTTTACAGCGACCAGAGAGGCCATTAGATCTCCTGGAACTGGAGCAGCCAGTGCTCTTAACCACTGGGCCACCTCTCCAGTCCCTGAGGGTAACTCTTAACTCACCACTGTGACCATTTCTACCTTTTCTTCCTAGAGGAGCTAGAAGGGAACCCTCTGCCTCCTGCCATCTCATTCCAGGCTGTTTTCTCTTTCAGCCCTTAACAACTGAAGAAACTTCCCCAGAACCTACCGCCGGGCTCTCAACCTCTCTAGAATCCCTGGCAAGCCTGAGCCTGACCACCAGCCCTGAGTGCAGCAGCCCCGACAGTGTCCATACAACCTCCTATAGGTACAAGCAGCAGAGAGCCTCCCACACGCTGATCCAGGAGATAAAACCCAAACCTCCCATGTCTTCTAAACCCAGGAATTTGGACCCGAGTTGGACCTTGCTAAAGAATGAGGTGAAGAGGCAACATCTGATGTCAGAGATACTGCAGAAGGTTCAGATGAAGAAGAAACGCTCCTTGTTCCCGGCTCCCAAGTCACGTGAGTGCTGCTGTAGGCAGGCGTGTGCCCTGAGCTTAAGCATGATGGTCAGCTTTCTCTCACAGTGACAAAATGACTCCTGTCATTAACTTCTAAAGAGAATGTGTTTCAGGCTCACGACTTTGACTTTCAGAGTTAGTTGATGACGGGGCAAACCTATTGCTTTTAGGTCTTGGATGTGAGAGTACCTGAATAGCAATGATGGGAAGGGTATGGTGAATGAAACTCACAGATTTCATGGCTAGCCACCATAGGTTTCATTTCCTCTCAGGAACATCAGGTGACAAAACCTTATCTTCAGGCCTCTGGGGGACATTCAACATCCAAACTATAGCATTAGGACCAGGTCTGGTGGCACATGCCTGAGATCTCCGCAATCAGGAGGTTGAGACAAGAGGATCAGGAGTTTGAAGCTAGCCTAAGTTACACAGCAAGACAGTTTCTCAAAAAGATAAATAAGGGCTGGCACCCATACAGGACAACTCACAACTATTTGTGTAACTCCAGTGCCAGGATAATTAAAGCCCTCTTCTGGCCTCATTGCACACCTGTACTCATGAGGTTCACATATATGGTCACATATATATCACAGAAACAAAATTCATTTAAAATATTTTAATTTTATATATTGATTTTGGTGTATGGGTGTTTTGTCTACATATATATCTGCATATCATGTTTGTGCTGGATGCCCTTGGGGGTCAGAAGAGGGCATCAGAGTCCCTGGAATTGGAGTTATAGACAGTTGCGAGCAGCCATGTGGGTGCTGGAAATTGAATCTGGGTCAAAAACAGCCAGTGCTCTTAACTGCTAAGCCATCTCCCCCAACCTTTAGTTTTGTAATTTTATTATTATTGTGTATGTGTGCATATGTGTGGGTCATATGGAGGTCAGAGAACAATTCTATGGAGTCAATTCTTTCTGCCCACCTTTATATAGGTTCCAGTGATCAAATTCAGGTTGCCAGGGTTGTGTGGCAAGCACCCTTTTATCTGCTGAGCCATCTAACAAGCCCTGTTAATTTTTATTTATCTTTTAATGCTGGTGGTGCAGGCCTTTAACCCCAGCACTAGGGAGACAGAGGCAAGAGGATCTCTGTGAGTTTGAGGCCAACCTTATCTGCAGAGTGAGTTCCAGGACAGTCAAAGCTCCACAGAAAAACCCTGTCCTGAAAAAATAATTGTTGGGGCTAGAGAGATAGTCCAATGGTTAAGACACTGGTTGCTCTTTTACATGATCTAGGTTCAAAATAAAATAAAAATAATTATTCCCCTAAAATCACAAAACTAACAATGACAAGAAAATTCAAACTGTTTAGCACTAGAGAGAGAGGAACCAGTTGGAAGGAGTTCCAGGTTTTGGGATTCCAGATCAAGAGCAGGGTTAGACCCTTCTCTCTGTCTGATGATGGACATGGCCCATGCTCACATGAGACCCATTGTCTGTACCAATCTTGGGCCACAAATACTGTGAGAAGGAATGAAGCAGTGGCTGACTTTGATTCCAAGACTGTTAGCAAGTTTGGGGACACGAGAGCCTTGTGGGAGGTGGCCTTCACCAGGAGTTTGTGATGACTATAGCAGCACAAACTGATGATGCCAACGACTTTGCCTTTCCAGGTAGCCTGTACTTGACCAAGGAGTGGTGCTCCCACAGCCTTAACTCTGGCAGGAGGAGAGAGATGGATGTGCCCTCCGTCCTCTTCCTGCAGGGTTGTCACAGCCATGGTGAATCTCTGAATGACCTTCTGGTAATTGCCACTCAGGCCCGTCTGGATCCTAGGCCTAGCAGAGGCCATTCAGGTACTACAAGGGACCCAGGCACTACAATCGACGCAGTTGCTACAATCAACCCAGGTGCGACAATGGACCCAGGCGCTACAATCGACCCCATCACACAGGACCTGAAGCACACTGCCATTGCCTGATCTCTGGTCAGAAAGGATGTGAGAGCTTAGGTAGGTGCCTATCCTTCTCCCCGTCGGTGCCTCTCCGTCTTTCTGGAGTGTTGAGTGTGTAGGAGGGTGAATGGATTGATGAAGACCTATAGGTGAGTCAACAGCTGAGATTCTCCTCAAAATGAGACCCTTGCTCGGCCCCCACTACAAAGTGCACTTTCTATCACTGTCCTCAAAGGCTGGCCCTGTAATGAGATGGGAGGAACTGAAAGACAGCACAGAGGGACCTGGTGGGTTGCACTGTGCGGAGGGGCCAGGGAAACTGTGAGGAACACTCTTTCAAAGTCTAAGGTGCCTCTGAAGGAAGGAGAGAACTGATTCAGGAAGCTGTCCTTTGACATAACACACACACACAAACACAAAATAAATACAACTTTTTTTTTAAGAGACAGGGTTTCTCTGAGTAGCCCTGGTTTTCCTGGAACTCACTCTGCAGATCAGACTGGCCGAAAACTGACAGAGATCCGCTTGCCTCTGCCTCCCGAGCGCTGGGATTAAAAGCATGAGCCACCAACACTCGACCCAAAAGTTTTTTAAAAAGGACTTTATTTTTGCCCAGAGGTGGTGGCACACACCTTTAATGTCAGCACTTGGGAGGCAGAGGCAGGCAGGCGTCAGTAAGTTTGAGGCCAGCCTGGACTACAAAACAAGTTCCAAGACAACCAGGACTGTAACACAGAGAAACCCTGTCTCCAAAAAACAAAAAACAAAACAAAAAGAGGTTTTTTTATTATTATTTACAACTTTTAGGGCTGGAGAGATAGCTCAGTGGTTAAGGGCACTGGCTAGACTCTGGAGGCAGAGCCAGGAAGCTATTCAAGACTTTGAGGCCAGCCTGGTCTACAAAACTACTTCCAGGACAGGTAGGGCTGTTACACAGAGAAACCCTGTCTCGAAAAACAAAGAGAGAGACAGAGACAGAGACATAGAGACAGAGTGCACACTGGCTGGAAGGCTAAGAGCACTGGCTGCTCTTCCAGAGGTTCTGAGTTCAATTCCCAGCAACCACATGGTGGCTCACAACTATCTGTAATGAGATCTGGTGCCCTCTTTTCTCAAGCAGGCATGCATGCACACATAATAAACAAACAAACAAATAAATAAATCTTAGCCTTTATTTTATGTGTCGAGGTGTTTTGCCTGCTGTGTGTCCGCGCACCATGGGCATGCAGCACTCTTGGAGGCTAGAAGAGAGCATCAGATCCCCTGGAACTGGAATTACAGATGGCTGTGAGCCACCACATGGGTGCTGGGATCTGAACTTGGGTCCTCTGAAAGAGCAGTCAGTGCTTTTAACTGGTGAACCATCTCTTTAGGTCCCTCTTATTAATTTTAATTATGTGTATGTGTCTGCATGTGAATATGTGCCCACATAGGCACTACTTCCCCTGGAACTGGAGCTATAGGTGGCTGCAAGCCACCCCATGTCCATGTGGGTGCTGAAAAATCAAACTTGAGTCCTCTGGGAAAGCAATGAGTACTCTTAACCACTAAGCGATTTTTCTAGCCAAACAAAACTTTTATTTAATAAGAAGTCTGTCAGCCGGGCGTTGGTGGCACGGCCCAACCTTACTCAAGTGATGGATTCAGGACAGATAGACAGCATTTCTTCTTTACCACACTATGAACTTAAAGCCTGTCCTGACCCATGAGAGAAACAGAGCCCTTCAAGTTTCTCCCATCTGTCTGCAGAAGTCACCACAGGCTCGTCAGCATCCTCCCTCTGGATGCACATATGTAAGGAATGGTTGGTCACTGGGGCCAGGTGCAGATCTGTATAGTGGCAATGATCTGCGATGACTAAAGCTTGACCAGGTGGCCTGGATCATGATGGCCATGGTGACCGTGGTTGTATGCTCTTGCTGTGGGTTAAAGACACACTTGCTTTTGGTGTTGAGACGCTGTTCTCAGTCCTCTCAGACGTTCCTTTTACAAATAGGGAAACCAAGGCAGAGAGGTTAAGTAACTACTATCCAAAAGCATTGCTCCCATTGCCTCCTCTTTTTTTTTAAAAGATTTATTTATTTATTAACTATGTGTACAGTATTATGCCTCCATGTATCCCTAAATACCAGAAGAGGGCACCAGATCTCATTACAGATGGTTGTGAGCCACCATGTGGTTGCTGGGACTTGAACTCAGGTCCTCTGGAAGACCAGACAATGCTCTTAACCTCTGAGCCATCTCTCCAGCCTCCATTGTCTCCTCTTAAAAAAGTGTTATTATTTCAAAAAATTGATTTGGGCAAAGTCTCACTAGCTTCAAACTCCCCATCTTCTTGCCTCTGCTGTTCAAATGCTAGGACTACAAGTCTGAGCCCCAACACAACTTTTTTTTCTTTTCCTTTTTGGTTTTTGGAGATAGGGTCTCTCTGTGTAGCCCTGGCTGTCCTAAACTAACTCTGTAGACCAGGCTGTCCTCAAACTCACAGCCTGCCTCTGCTTCCCAAGTGCTAGGATTAAAGGCCTGTGTCACCACTGCCCTGCTATATTTTTATTAAAACATTTTTTCATACAATATGTTTTGATCATGTTTCCCTTCCCTCAGCTCCTCCTAGATCTTCCAAACCTCTCTCCACCCAACTTTGTTCTTTCTGTTTCAAAAAAAAGACACCAAAAACAAGAAACAAAACAGCATTTAAAAAAAGAAACCAAGAAAATGAAAATCAAAACAGGGAAAGGACCAATAAGACTTTTTAAAAAAGTGCCAAACAAAGTGAAATGAAACAAAAAGTCCACAAAAACACCGTTGAGTTTGTTTTCTGTTGACCAATTACTCCTGAGCATTGGGCCAGCCCTGAATATGGTTGATATGCCCAGTGGCTTTGTGTTGGAGAAAACTGATTTTCCCTTTACCAACAGGTATTAACTGCAGATAGCTTCTTGATTATGGGTTGGGCCCTGTGCACACTTGCTGCATTAGGCACACAGCTTTTTTTTAAAAGATTTATTTATTTAGTATGTATACAGTGATTTATCTGCATACATGCATGCATGCCAGAAGAAGGCATCAGATCTCATTAAAGATGGTTGTGAGCCACTATGTGGTTGCTGGGAATGGAACTCAAGACCTCTGGAAGAACACCCAGTGCTCTTAACCTCTGAGCCATCTCACCAGCCCCCAGGCACACAGCTTTTTAACCATTAATATACCATCCGCAGTCAGCCATCATACCTGCTTTTAATGGTCCATATCAAATGTCCTCGATGGTAAGACAGTATGTGGGTAGCAGCTATACAGGTAAAATTAATTTCTGGTGACCACAGATGTCTAAGCACATCCTGATTCACTGGGTAGAAATGACAGTGACATTAGGGCCGGGATGGAGCTCAGTGGCAGAGCCCTTTCCCTGCTTCATCCACAACATCATAGGCAGGGGTGGGGGGAGACCAATTAACTTTACCATTCCAAAGGCCTGTGTAAAAGATGATCTAACAAAAATCTTTTTCTTTTCCTTTCTAGAATCAGTCTGGATCTTTTGCCGTTTTTCCTTTCCTACCTCTTATTTCAGGAAATGAGTATCTCCAACGTCTACAAAATGGCCTGGAAGTTTCGTTTCCTCATCTAGAAGTTCTGGTCTGATAAATAGTCTCATTGGCACCTGTGAGGACAGCGACCTTCGGTGCTGTCCCGTTATCTCACAGTGCTGTGTGTGGAACCAGGACTTCTAGGGATCGATTGCTGCTTCCCCAGGACAGTTGCCTCAGCTGTGGCGCTCCTCTGGGTCCCTCATGTGATGGCCACTGTCATTCAGAACACTCCCCCAGGCTAAGCAACTTGAGGGAGGAGTGAGTGGAGGACTCCTGATTTCCAGGAGTCCAGAGCCCTCTCTCTACCTGCTGGCCTGTGTTGGTCCACCCTTCTCTCTAAAAACAAAGGCAGAACTAGGACTAAGTGTGGTGGAATTAAGAGTCTTGATGAAAAGAATTCAGGACAGTTGCGAATTCACCAGCAAAAGTGATCCTTTCCACTCCAGACAGCCCAAAGGCCTGGCATCTCAGTTCCCAGACTGCCTCTTGCTGCTACCTCCCCTTCAGTCTTGCTGGCAAAGACAGGTAATGTGCGAGTACCTAGCCTGCGGGTATTTCTTCCATTGACTTGCAGAAATTATATGTCTTCCTTCATTTATACATTAATAAAATAAATTGCCATGCTCAATACTAGGGAGGAGCCTGGTCCACAATGGAAGGTAGGATGGCTGTTCCCCTGAGTACCTCTCAATGATCTACTGAAATATGTCAGGAGCTTTGGTTTTGAAGACTTCTAGGGATGGGTGATCCTCGGGAATCCCTGCCTTTTTCGCTGGGGTCCAAGAGCCTGAAATGACCTTATCTTGGGCATCGTGGTGCCTTTCCTTCCACCAAGCAGGGATAGCCAGGCACCAGGTTGCATTTCATCCTTCCTGCTAGCTCATCCCCTGCTTTGTCCAGAATGTGATGTGAGGCCTTTGTCTCTGTTGCTCTACTGGACTTGGATTTCTAGTGGGCGGGGGTAGTATGCTTCACAGTGTTTGTGGATTTCCTGCACACATCTGATGTTTGAGGGAATGGATTTCCCACCTCAGCAATGTCTGGGGCATTTAATCCCACAGTACTCTCCAAGGGCAACGCCCGAGTTATCCAAGGTATTGAAATCTGTTAATAAGGTAAAACTGGGTTTATTTTCCCTAACAGACATTTTGGTACCAGCACCCTTCCTTCTCGAGCCACGGTCAGCTTCACACAGGCATCTGGAATCAGTGTAGTCATCCGGGGTCCTATACCCAGAAGGACTCTGCCCTTGGTGTATGGCTATGTGGTCCCCACCTTAAAATGCCGTGTGATTTCTGGACAGTCTTGTTTTGGCATCTTGCACTTGGTCGAGCCCTGTTATTTAACAAGTTCTGCCAGTGAGAGGGGAAATTTCAGGGTGTCTTCTTGGCTCCGCCCATCCATAGGCTATGGAAATTTCAGGGTGTCTTCTTGGCTCCGCCCATCCATAGGCTATGGAAATTTCAGGGTGTCTTCTTGGCTCGGCATCCATTGGCTATGGAAAGTCATTGATGGCCGATTGCTTATGGGGGTGGGAGGAGATGGGCAGAGAATGCCTCGCTTCTGTGGAATGTGCAGTAGATTACCACGAGTTCACAGACAGGGCCCAAGTTAAGCACCAGTATCTGTGGATGAGAAGGAAACACCTTCACAGCCACCTGGTGGCCAAGTCCACTTCGATTCAAGGTGTCAGAAAAGGATAAAGAAGATTTGGGGTGTGGACTGCAGAATAGAAACCTAGGAGAGAATAACACCCTTGAAGGTAATAGCTCTGGAAGGCCTAGTGCAGTTTGGTTGAATTAGGAAGGAATATTGGGAGATGACGATGGAGAGGTAATGTGAGAGACCACACTGGGGACCCCAGAGCCCCTTAGCTTCTTTCTGCATTGCTGCTTCTCTCATGATAGTGGACTGTTTATGTGGCTGGATTATATGATCTCTTTACATATTTTTTTCCTCAATATATGTTTTTATTTAAATTGGAAACAGGCAGCCGGGTGTTGGTGGCGCATGCCTTTAATCCCAGCACCCGGGAAGCAGAGACAGGCGGATCTCTGTGAGTTTGAGGCCAGCCTGGTCTACAGAGCAAGTTCCAGGACAGCCTCCAAAACAATACAGAGATAGGGTTTTTTGAGATAGGGTTTCTATCTCAAAAAAACAAAAAAACAAAAACAAAAAAAAAGAAACATGAATGCTTCACATGTCAATCCCAGTTCCCTCTCCTACCCATCCTCCCTTGTCCCTCCACCAGCCCCCCCTTACATGTTTTACTCCTTGCTTTTCCCTGCATGTGTGTTTGTGTATCTAGTGCCTGTGGCAGCCGTGAATCTCTTGGAATTGGATTTACGGATGGTTGCGAACCATCATGTGGTGTAGCAGGACTGTAACTGAGGTTCTCTGGAAGAGAAGCCAGGGCTCTTAACCACTGGCCATCTCCCCAGCCCTTACTCCTTGCTTTTAAAGCAAAGTAACAAGGGATTCAATAACTGCTCAATGAATTATGAAGAGGATCTATAATATTATCCTGGGAACTGCCTAACCCAGAGTGTAGTGGAAACCTTTGAAGGGTTCAAATGGGAGAGAACTTATATGTGGTGTTAGAAGATTATTCTGGGAGGCTGGAGACATGGCTCAGAGGTTAAGAGCACTGGTTGCTCTTCCAGAGGTCCTGAGTTCAGTTCCCAGCAACCACATGGTGGCTCACAACAGTCTCTAGTGGGACCAGATGCCCTCTGCTGGCATAAATGTGTATATGGAATAAATAAATCAATCTTTAGGAAAAAGGATGCATCTGTGGTAATGTGATGGATGGGAAGGGGAGAGGCGTCACAGGGTGGTCCTGCCTTCAAGCCTTTACAGCATCTAAAAGGATGACTGATGGGATCAGGGATGTGCCTTAGAGAAGCAGACAGAAAAGAAGTGGCAAGTGACAAGCACTCAGAGAGCTGGGTGTATGAGAGGAAAAAAGAAAATGACACAGAAGGCTGAAGGAAGAGACAGGCTAACTGGGGTGACACAGAGCATCTCGTCTGCTTCCGAAGCCATTTGAACATCTCTGCCCTCTGGCAGACCTAAAAGAGCACCCCCGACAGAGAAGGTCCAATACAGAAGTGATGTCCCTAAGACAACTGTTAAAAAATAGCCATCCTGGGGACTGGAGGGATGGCTCAGTGGGAAAAGACACTTACCAACAACCCTGACAATCTGAGTTTAATCCCTGGAATCGATAAGGCACAAGAAGACAACTGACTTGTCCTCCTGAACACATACTCACAGACACAAATGTAGAGGCTTGGGAGATGGCTCAGTGGCTGAGTGCTTACTGACCTTGGAGAAGACCTGGGTTAGGTTCCCAGCACCCATGTGGCAGTTCACAGTCATCTACGAAACCAGTTTCGGGATATTCAGCGACCTCTTCTGTCCTCTTCAGGCACAACACATGTTGTGCATATGTACATATAAAAGTAAAAATTCTCTAGATAAGGCTGGGGTTGTCTTGACTCAGTGTTAGAGCACCTCCCTAACATTCATGAGGCCCTGGGTTCAACCCTCAGTGTCACACAGAAAAAGACCTGGACAGTTCATGCGTATGTGCTTCTCCCTAGACTGAGTCAATTTGATAAGTTTATTTGAACTTTAGAAGCTGTCCTAGAGCTGGGGAGATGGAGGGTTAAAATGCTTGCTGTACAAGAATGAGGACCTGGGTTTGAATTCCTCAAATCCATAAAACAAAAACAAAAACAAAAAAAGCCAAGGTGTGGCTGCTCATGTCTGTAATCCCAATTTCAGAGGGGAGAGGCATACAGATCCCAAGAACTGACTGGCCATGAACTCATATGTCTCCTCTCTCTCTCAGACATGCATGCACACTAAAACTGCTCTCTGATAGTAGTGATGCTTGGTATGAGTGGAGTCCTAGGCACATTCCTGCCTCATCAATAATAAACTTTTGCAAAGGGCTCTGATGTAGGACCAGTTTTAGGAACCATTTGGTTCACTCCAGCCCTGGATGGTCCCATTCACTTCAGGATGGGTGGCTCGTAGTAGCCTGTTTCCCTCCACCCTGGTTAGGGAGTGTAAGTCAGGCAGATTGAGAGCTGTTCCAGGCCCCCCTCCCACCCAAGCTGGATGATGACATGAGCCAAATGTAATCATTCATGACCCTTGTCTTTACAGCTGGCATGTCACTTAATTACAACACACAGTGGTATTTCAACTCGAGGAATCTAAAACAATAAAATGGGCTCTGCAAATTGTTAGGAAGGCAATGAAGACCTTGAAACTGCAATTTACTAAGCATTGCTTTCAATTATTTTGCTTTCTCCAGTCATGACTCTCAAGTTATTAACTAGCAGCCTGGGAAAGCCAGAAGCAGTGTGTCATGTGAGGGGCATTTCCTATCTCTTGCAAGCACACTGTGTGCTCTGGAGGTAACTGGAGGCTCTTGGAGTGGGAGGGCATGAGATTATTGTGAGTACTAGTTCTTCCCATCTGGTCAGGCACCTGCTAATCATGCTCCCTCCACCCTGCTACAAAACCATGCATTTTGATTGGTTCAGCACCGCCTTCAGTGGGAGTCTTTCTTGCCTCCTCGCTCCTCAATATGCCTCCAATATTAACTACTGCCCCAGAAAATATAAAGGCACGTTGCAATGCAAAGCTTTCTCATGGCGTTTTTGGCTCACTGCTTTTTCTGGCTTACTTCCTGATGCCTTTTAGTCCTCAGGCCGATTCTAAAGGGAAAGACTGTGCTGTGGCCATAGCACCCTTCTTTCAAAATCCTAGCAGTCTTGTGGTGGTGGCGGTGATCCAATGGGACCCATCCATCTGAGAAAGGGCCAGATGCATCAGGAAATGGGCAGCAGCCTTGAGACAGATTTCACTTGCCTGGAGCGATGTTAGCTAGCATGATTATCAGAGGCAGAGCACCAGCTGCCTCCGCAGCCATGCCAGCGGGACAGCAAACACCAAAATCCTGTTGGCAAAGCCAGCGAGACCATTACAACGTGGCCAAAGCAAACAGGGCTGAGAACATCCAGTAGCCTTAGGGATGCCTGCCTGCACTCATTCCCCGGAGCCTGGGGCCCAAGCAAGATTCCCATGCCCTCCTTTTGGTCCAGCCCCAGATGGAAGAAAGGCGACTGACGATAAAAGCGGTTCACATTGCCTTGTGCTCTTCCCGGCAGTTCTGGGAGCTGCTTACTCTTCAGATGCGGTAGAGGTGGGAACTGAGGCTGGCTCAGCAGGATCTCAGAGCCGGGCTTCCTTGGGTCGGGTTTCTGATTCGGTGTGCATCTCACTCCATTTCTCTTCCATCTCTCCACCCCAAATTCCATGTCAACTCCCATAGTCCCTTCACTGGCAGAACCCCCACACCAAGAGGCAATTTGCATTCTTTTTTTTTCTCTCTTCCCACTTAGTAGCTGAGAAGCAAAAGCATAGAAAGGGGGGCAGTTATTTACCTTTTTTACAGCAAACAGCAATTCATCCCCCCTCCCCATTTTGTCTCCCACACCCATTAACACAAATGAAATCCTGAGGAGGAAAAATATGCTTTTGTATATCTCTTTATTTGGATATTTCTGCAGCATTTTCCTGCATTTAAATGTAAAAGATCTGAAACGCGGC